GTCCTACTGCAGATCAAGCCACAAACTGGGCATGTACCCTGACTGGGGATCAAACCTTAACCTCCTGGCTCATAAGTCGACACTCAACCACTGAGCCACACCAGCCGGGCTATACTTGTTGTTTCAGTCCACCCAGTTTGGGGCAATTTATAATGACAGCAACAGGCAATTCATACAGCCCTCCGTAATGCCTTCTTCTCTACCGGTTTCTCTAACAGCAAACACAAGTACAGCATGGCCATGAAGAAAGGGTGAAGGGGAGGGGAAGAAAATGGGTAAAATGGCTCCAAACATCAAACCCCTGTACATGCCCCACAATGGGGGGAAAGGATAAAGTGCCAGTCAGACGCAGTCCCACAGAACCAACGCTCAGGGTCTGCAGGGTTCTGTGGGACTCTTTTTTCTTTCCTTTTAAAAATACACTGAGTGGCCAGATTATAATAATCTCTGAATGCATAATAATCTGACCACTCTGTATGTCCTATATAATAAAAGGCTAATATGCAAATTGTCCCCTCAACCAGGAGTTCGACCAGCAGGCAGGCTGGCCAACCACCCATGTCCCCTCCCCCTGGCCAGGCTGGCCAGACCACGTCCATGCACGAATTCATACACCAGGCCTCTAACACACACACACACACACACACACACACACACTGAGTGGCCAGATTATTATGCGTTCAGAGATCATAATAATCTGGCCACTCAGTGTATATTTGTATTGATTCCAGAGAGGAAGGGAGAGGGAGAGAGATGGAAACATCAATGATGAGAGAGAATCGGATCGGCTGCCTCCTGCATGCCCCCTACTGGGGATCGAGCCTGCAACCCGGGCATGTGCCCTGACCAGGAATCGAACTGGCAATCTCTTGGTTCATAGGTCGATGCTCCACCCCTGAGCCACGCTGACCGGGCTGTGGGGCTCCTTTTGTCAGCAAAGTGCAAGGACCGCTGCTGGCCATGACAAGCCCGAGGCCAGGGGCGCATCCCCACCTCGGAGGCGGGAGGGCAGGCGAGGCTGCTTCTCTGTGCAACAAAGACCGCATTATGAATGCACATAAGAAACCAGGCTTGATATGGGACCTTGGAACAGTGGCAAACTGGATACTTGCGAACAAAGGATGTGGGAGTCTCCAAGGATGTTTGGATCAGTGAAAGAAGACGTTTGTGCGGCTACTAATCGGTGGGAAGGGGCCTTGCCATGATAAGAGGAATCACTGAAGAAGATACAATTACCAAATATTTCTGCCCTGAATCCAAAGGCCGCTAGAAGGGAAAGGGGGACCAGATCACTCATTACAGGGTAAGTTCACTAACGCTCCTGCCTCACGGAAGAGACCAGGAGTGGAATATTAGTTCCGTTATGGCACTGGCAAGGATGCGGTGCTAAACCTGTGGTCGGCAAACCGCAGCTCGAGAGCCACATGCGGCTCTTTGGCCCCTTGAGTGTGGCTCTTCCACAAAATACCACAGCCTGGGTGAGTCTATTTTGAAGAAGTGGCGTTAGAAGAAGTTTAAGGTTAAAAAATGTGGCTCTCGCCGGAACCGGTTTGGCTCAATGGATAGAGCGTCAGCTTGGGGACCGAAGGGTCCCGGGTTCGATTCCGGTCAAGGGCATGTACCTTGGTTGCAGGCATATCCCCAGTAGGGGGTGTGCAAGAGGCAGCTGATCGATGACTCTCTCTCATCGATGTTTCTGGCTCTCTATCTCTCCCCCTTCCTCTCTGTACAAAATCAATAAAATATATTTTTTAAAAAATGTGGCTCTCAAAAGAAATTTCAATCGTTGTCCCATTGATATTTGGCTCTGCGGACTAATGAGTTTGCCGACCACTGGGCTAAACCATCCCGTGGAAGCACAGATGGGAGGAGGAGCTAAAACAATGGACTACACTGATAGGACAGAATAAACTGAAATTTAGCAACTAAAAATGCACATAAAGCTTGCAAATCAAGTCTACAATAGCCCTAGCAGGTTTGGCTCAGTGGATAAGAGCATTGGCCTGCGCACTAAAGGGTCCAGGGTTCAATTCCCTGTCAGGGCACATGCCCGGGTTGCAGGCTCTATCCCCAGTAGGGGGCATGCAAGAGGCAACCAATCATTGATGTTTCTTTTTTTTTTTTTTTTAATGTATCTTTATTGATTTCAGAGAGGAAGGGAGAGGGAGAGAGAGGTAGAAACATCAATGATGAGAGAGAATCATTGATTCGCTGCCTCCTGCATGACCCAACTGGGGATCAAGCTCAAACCTAGGTATGTGCCCTTGATCAGAATTGAACCTGGGACCCTTCAGTCCACAGGCTGATGCTCTACCCACTGAGCCAAACCACTAGGGCCATCATTGATGTTTCTATCTCTCTCTCCTCCCTTCATCTCTGAAATCAATAAAAATATATTTTAAAAAAAAGTCTAGAATAAAAGAAGCTCCATAGCCCAGCCCACGTGGCTCTGTGATTGAGCATCAACCTAAGAACCAGAAGGTCACGGTCCGATTCCCAGCCAGGGTACATGCCCAGGTTTCAGACTCGATCCCCAGTGCGTGGTGTGCAGGAGGCAGCCTATCAATGTTGATGTTTCTCTTTCATCGATGTTTCTCTCTCTCTCCCTCTCCCTTCCTCTTTGAAATCAGTAAAAGTTTTTTTTTTTTTTGTTTTTGTTTTTAAAAGAAGCTCCATAAATAATAAGTGGAAGGTCATATGCTTCACAGCAGCATATGAGACCTAAGCTTCCGGTTGCCCTGAGCTAAAGCTAACTCATGATGTGACAGGCACACACACAACCACTGGATGCTCTAATCCGAGGGGCCACATCTGGCCAGCCACTTGTTTTGGTATTGCTTGTGAGCTACTCTAGTAATCATGGTTTTTACATGACTAAATAGCTGGAGAAAAGATCAGAAGAACATTTCATGGCATGTGACAGTTACATGAAATTCACACCTCAGTGCCCATAATCTCGTTTCATTGGAATGCAGCCACACCAGTCATTTCTCATCGTCTGTCTCTGGCTGAGATGCCACCAGAGGAAGTAGTTACGACAGAGCCGGGCGCCTTCACAGCAACAGCGTCCGTGGGAATGAATCAAAAGCATGCCTATTTTTCGTCAGATGAGCAAAATATATGGTTTTTGGGGTGGCGCTGCATTTGAGTAGTTAGTTTATGCGTGCCATGGGACGAAAAAGGTTGAAAATCACTGCTATCGCCTGGCATGGTATCTTAATACCGGCAAAAATATGCCTTATCTCTTTCCCTCCCTCTAACCAGTAACAAAGACAGACTGTGCCAAAGCCAAGGTGAAAAAGCATGTGTACTCGATCAGGAAAATAGAAGGCAAACATTGTCTAGCTATTCTAACCCAGTGGTCGGCAAACTGTGGTTCGTGAGCCACACGCAGCTCTTGGGCCCCCTGAAAGTGGCTCTTGCACAAAATACCATGGCCTGGGAGAGTCTATTTGGAAGAAGTGGCGTTAGAAGTTTAAGTTTAAAAAAATCTGGCTCTCCAAAGAAATTTAAATTGTTGTGCTGTTGAGATTTGGCTCTGGTGACTAATGAGTTTGCCGACCCCTGTTCTAAGGCAACCTGAGGAAAAAGGAAATGTCAGCGTTAACCCAGAGCGGGCGCCGCCCTCGTACCCGGTCCTTCTTGTCCTGGCGGGCGTAGGGGAAGCAGGGGATCACGGCGGTCACCCGGGAGGAGGAGGCAATCTTGCAGGCATTGATCATGATGAGGAGCTCCATCAGATTGTCGTTGATCTCCCCGCAGCCGCTCTGGATGATGTACACATCCTCCCCTCTCACGCTCTCGCCGATCTCCACACTAGGAGAAAAACACTCTTTGTTAGTACTCAAGCGCACCCTGGCCAGTGTGGCTCAGTGGATAGAGCGTCAGAATGCAGACAGAAGGGTCCCAGGTTCGATTCGTCCAGGGCACATGCCTGGGTTGCTGGCTCCATGCCCAGCAGGGGGCATGCAGAAGGCAGCCAATCAGTGATTCTCATCATTGATGTTTCTATCTCTTTCTCCCTCTCTCTTCCTCTCAGAAATCAATAGAAATATACACTGAGTTGCTAGATTATTATAATCTCTGAACGCATAATAATCTGGCTACTCAGTGTGTGTGTATTGGAGGCCCGGGCATGAATTCGTGTATGGGTGTGGTCTGGCCAGCCTGGCCAGGGGGAGGGGACATGGGCGGTTGGCAGGCCTGCCTGCTGGTCGAACTCCTGGTCGAGGGGACAATTTGCATATGAGCCTTTTATTCTACAGGACATACAGTGAGTGGCCAGATTATTATGTGTTCAGAGATCATCATCCTCTGGCCACTGTGTATATATATAAATTCTAAAGCATATCTGATGACTGGCCAGGACAGCTGTTCTCAGGGCTAAGATGTATCACAGCAGAGGGCACAGAGCACAGTGAGCCAAGGGGAAGGGGCCCGGGCGGATCCAGGCGCGAGCTTCCAAGAGCTGTTCCCGGGGCATCACCCAGGTCGTGCTCAGCAATGAGCTGGGACAAGGCGTGTGCGGGGCTGGCTGTCTGCCAAGGAAGCTCATTAGACCCAGTGCCTGGGGGGTCTTGGGGGGGCTGGTGACGTCATTACCTTCTGCCTGGCACATACCAGACTTGCGGGCACCAGCATCCAGCATGCTGTTCGCACAAGGAGCCCCTCCCACAGGAAGAGGAGGAAGCCCTGGCTGAAGCCAAGTACCCAGCAGCCGGCCTAGGCCCTCACCAGCAGGCCGTTTCCTATCTAAGCGGAGTCTTGCATGCTCCTTAGCAATTGGTCTCAGTCTTACTATGTTAACTCTTTTCTGCTAAATGTTATATTTAATTATTTACCTTTATTAAAGTTACATGTGCGCGTTGCTTTAAAAATTCAGATCACTCTGTAAGCCTTATAACAGCCCAGAGACAACCAATTTCAATTCTTTTTTTAAAATACATTTTTCTTGATTTCAGAGAGGAAGGGAGAGAGAAAGAAACATGAATGATGAGAAAGAATCACGGATTGCTGCCTCTCTCCCTGCCCCCTACTGGGGATTGAGCCTGCAACCTGAGTATGTGCACTGACCAGAATCGAACCCAGGACCCTTCAGTCTGCAGGCTGACACTCTATCCACTGAGCCAAACCAGCTAGGGCCAATTTCAACTCTTAAAAAAAAACAACACAAACACAAACACAAACACAAACACACACACACACACACACATATACATATATATATATATATATATATATATATATATATATCTTTATTGATTTCAGAGAGGAAGGGAGAAAGGTAAAGAGAAACATCAATGATGAGAGAATCATTGATCAGCTGCCTCCTACATGCTCCCCCATTTGGGATCGAGCCCACAACCCAGGCATGTGCCCTTGGCTGGAATCGAACCTGAGACATTCCAGTCGGCAGGCCTATGCTCTATCCACTGAATCAAACCGGCTAGGGCCAATTTCAACTCTTAGCCGAGCCTCTAGCAATTGTTTGTATGGCTTCTCATCTAGGCATCACGTGTTGACTCTCCATGTTGACTCTTCCCTGTCAAGATGAGGATTTAACTCTTTCCTTCCTGTCCCATCACCCGCTTCCTATGCAACCTGCCGACCCCCTCCCGGCCTTCATCCCAATATAGGTCAACATTCTAACCAAACAGGAGCGCTCCCTGCAGCCGTGTCAATACTGCTCAGAGCTGAGCTGTCCAGTTAACTAAAGCCAAGTGTTTAGCATTTCCCTTTTAGGCAGCATTTTGAGGGTGTGTTTGCCCTGGAGGAAATGACCCTATCTTCTCACCTGCTAAGTGTCCTAAGCACTCACTACAAATTCCAGGCTACACACCTGACACACAGCAGTGTCCACTTCAGCTTCCTGTTTGCCTCGCCCAAGGCTGTCTGCCCCGGGCCCTTCTGGCAGATGCCCAGCTGCACCCCGGGGGTTCCCACCGCCCCCCACCACCCCGTTTCCCACTTTCTGTACTCTTTCTGGGTGGACTTCCTTGTTTTGCTGACAGGCACCCTCCAGCAGCTTCTTTTTAAATATACATATATATATATATATATTTTACTGACTTCAGAGATGAAGGGAGAGGGAAAGAGAAACATCAATGGTGAGAATCACTGATCGGCTGCCTCCTGCACACCCCACTGGGGATGGAGCCTGCAGCCGCAACCCAGGCATGTGCCCTGACTGGCAATCGAACTGTGACCTCCGGGTTCATAGCTTGACACTCAACCACTGAGCCACACCGGCTGAGCTCCTCCAGAAGCTTCTTGAGTCAACAGAAGCTTTGCAAGTCCCTAAGAATTGCATGTTGGAAAATGCCTGTGTGTCGGCTACAGAATTCTGAGTGATCAACCGGAGAGGCGGCCTGCCCGTCGCTGGCACGTGTCTTCCAGGGGAAGGAAAGCAAACTGGGCCGTGTGCTCACGAGAGCGCCAGGGCCTATCAGCGCTGCTACAATGTTGGCTTTCCAAAGGCAAATCTCTTCCGGTGGCTGATGTATCGGAAACAACTGGAGCGGAACGTGAATGGCACGTTTGCTTTCCCACCTCCTTCATTCTGAGAGGAGACAGCGGAAGACACACTGGGACATGCTCCCGGCACACCCCCTCGCAACGGCAGCCACCCGCACCCACACCTGCTGTGGCAACCCCCCCCTCCAACTCAGATCACTCTCCTTCCAGCTCCTCATGAGACCCACTTCGTCAAGCAGGCTGCAGCTCTTCAACAGAAAGTGTCATATTTACTGTAGTATTTATGCTTTTAAAAATATATATATATGTTTTAATTGATTTCAGAGAGGAAGGGAGAGAAACATCAGTGATGAGAGAGAATCATCCATCAGCCGCCTCCTGCACACCCCCTTACTGGGGATGTGCCCGCAACCCAGGTACATGCCCTTGATTGGAATTGAACCTGGGACCTTACAGTCCGCAGGCCGACGCTCTATCCATTGAGCCACACCGGTTTCAGCTTTATGCTTTTTTTTTAAAACAAGTGATTTTGGGGAAACTATTTAGTTAAGACTACCTGAATCAACAGAAGCTTCTACCCAAGGTCAAGTAGATCAGAAGACAAAAAATGAAGTTTTCCAAGTTGACAAGATCTGCCGATGAGTTATGGAACCAGTGGGTCTCGCGTGTGCTCAGCTATGGATGGAGACAGTGCAATGCCACCACAGGGTGAGAGGGACGCGGAATTCCATGCGTTCCCTCCCACCTCGGGTACAAAGGAACGCAGTGAACTCCCGTGGGCCTCACATCAACTTGGAAGTCACATAACTACATAGCTCACGGGCCGGCGATCTAGCCCAGGGCCCGAGAACGATGAGGTAGGCAGGGCAATGACCCCCTCAAGACATCTTGCTCCTAATACCCTGGACCTGTGTACCCCTCAGTTTACCAGGCAACGGGGAAACCAGGTGGCAGATGGAATTAAGGTACTCATCAGCTGACCTCAACCAGGGAGCCTGTTCTGGATTGTTCTAGTTGATGGACATAATCACAAGGGCTCATACAAGTTGTGAAACATAAATATCCTGGAAGAAACCAGAGGTAGCAAGATCTCAGACGTCTCTCGTAGCAACGTGTTTACAGACACATCTCCCAGGGCCGAGGAAACGAAGGAGAAAAGGAGCAAATGGGACAAAATAAAAAGCTCTGTCCAGCAAGAGAGACCACTAACGGAACGAAAAGGGAGTCCACTGTACGGGAGAGCATGTTTGGCCATGAGACATCTGGCGAGGGGCTAATATCAAAGAACCATGTCAAGGCTGAAGTGGGGTCAGAAAGATACTTTTTTGCCCTGGCCGGTTTGGCTCAGTGGATAGAGCGTAAGCCTGCTGACTGAAGGGTCCCAGGTTCGATTCCGGTCAAGGGCATGTGCCTTGGTTGCGGGCACATCTCCAGTGGGGGGCGTGCAGGAGGCAGCTGATGGATATTTCTCTCTCATCGATGTTTCTAGCTCTCTATCCCTCTCCCTTCCTCTCTGTAAATTATCAATAATATATAATATATATATATATATATATATATTTTTTTTTTTTAAAGAAAGATACTTTTTTGCTGCCTTTGAAGATGGAAGCAGCAGCCAGCAGAGAGGAAGGAACTTGGACAGCCCCCAAAAGCTGGATTCTTGCCGAAACCTGTTTGGCTCAGTGGATAGAGCGTCGGCTTGGGGACTGAAAGGTCCCAAGTTCAATTCCAGTCAAGGGCATGTACCTTGGTTGCGGGCACATCCCTAGTAAGGGGTGTGCACGAGGCAGCTGATCAATGATTCTCTCTCATCGATGTTTTTAACTCTCTATCTCTCTCTCTTCCTCTCTGTATAAAGCCAATAAAATATATAGTTTTTTAAAAAATTAAAAAATAATTAAAAAAAAAAACTGGGTTCTCCCCTTTACCATCCCCTGCCCCCCAGAGGAATGAAGTGAGCTGATGGACTCCTGGCTCACAGAACAGTCAGACACTACAGAGACGACAGGGGCCAGCGATGCCCAAAACAGTCACTATCTGGGCCCTGGCAGTTTGCCAACCCCTGGTGTGACACCGTCTATCCCCCCATTCCCGCCTCTTTGGCCTATTTCTCCTCAGGAACTCCAATCCCTATATGACTAGTTCAGGGGAGGACAGAAAATACTATTGCCATGGCAACTTTTTCCCCCAAGCTATTCCTGCTTCTTCTACTCATAAAGATGATCACGACTGATCTTTATTCTAGGACTTTTTTAAAAAGATTTTTTTATTGATTTATTTAGAGAGAGGAAGGGACAGAAAGAGAAATATCGTTGTGAGAGCAAAACATCTATGTGCTGCCTCCTGCACCCGGGCATGGGACCTGACCGGGAATCGAATCGGCAACCTTTCAGTGCAGGGATGATGCCCAACCAATTGAACCACACTGGCCAGGGCTATTCTAGGACTTGTAAGAACTGTGGGCAGAAGGCAGCATCCATTTTCTCTTCAGGTAAAGGATCTTTACTGACCTTGGACTAAGAAGGCTGGGGCGTTTATCTGAGTCAACAAGAATGGATGTGGAAGTTACCAGATGGCCTCAGACCCTTTAACACTTTCCCATCAAGAAGACTCCCCTTGTCCTAGCTGGTTTAGCTCAGTGGATAGAGCGTCAGCCTGCGGACTGAAGGGTCCCAGGTTCGATTCCGGTCAAGGGCATGTACCTTGGTTGCAGGCACATCTCCAGTAGGAGGTGTGCAGGAGGCAGCTGATCAATGTTTCTCTCTCATCCATGTTTCTAACTCTCTATCCCTCTCCCTTCCTCTCTATAAAAATCAGTAAAATATATATTTTTTTTAAAAAAAGAGAAGAGGACTCCCCTTGAATGTGGGAGGACTGTTTGAGAAGAGAATGTGACGGAAGTGATGATGTCCAGGCCTTAAGCGGCTGGCAGCTCCCGTACCCTGGAATACTCACGCTGGGCACCAACTTCCCTGCCCGGAGGAGAAAGCTCAGGCAGCCCCATGGAGAGGTACTGAGCTTCCCGACCAGCTCACTGGCAGAAGCCAGTGCTAACTCACCTTAGTGGGGGGATCTCCAGCCCCCCGTGACTGTCCTGATCCCACCACCTGGGGCAGAAACAAGCCTTCCTTGCTGCCCCTGCCTGAACTGCAGATGTGAGAGGCAAGTAGATAATTATTGTTTTAAGCCACAAAATCCGGGGGTGATTTGTTCCACAACAAGAGACAGCCAGAACTTTGGGTCATACAACCCAGCTAAGGACTCTGTGGGCAGGTGAACTTCTGGGATAAGATGCTACAACCACCGTTCAGACACATCATCAGTGCTGTCCTAGAACATCATCATGGCATCTCAAGGTCTATGGTACAGCTGGGACACAATCTCCCTCTATGTGAGTGACTTAGATGACAAAGTAAAATCAGGAGGCTCTGTCTGATTCGGTGGTGTTTGAAAAATGGGAAATGGGCCCTAGCCGGTTTGCTCAGTGGATAAAGCGTCAGCCTTCGGACTGAAGGGTCCTGGGTTCGATTCCGTTCAAAGGCACAGGCCCAGGTTGCAGGCTCGATGCCCAGTGGGGGGTGTGCAGGAGGCAGCCAATCCATGATTCTCTCACATCATTGATGTTTCTCTCTCTCTCCCTCTCCCTTCCTCTCTGAAACAAATAAAAATATAAGAAAAGAAGAGAAAAATGGGGGATGGGAACAGCGATGACCAAGAGACAGCGAGCAGGCTTCTGGTCCAGGCTCAGAAGAGATTGAGGAAGAGGCCCCTCAAAGGAAATGAATCAGTTCTCTCTTCCTGTCGCCCTTGCATCTGGTCTTAGGGGCCCACGGTGAAAACTGGATCACTAGCTCAGCGCCTGGGAGGAGAGGACCTCTAGTTCATGGAGAGAAAAGTCAGGAAGTTAACCTGATATTAAAAACAAAATGTACTTATATAAGCAATTCCAAAACTTCGTGTTGAGTGGATTTTGAGACCTCATGACTTCTAACGCTCAAGGGGTAGCTATGAAATACTCAAAAGCAAATGGCATCGAGTCCGTTTAAATACACTGATGTCTAAGGAAGTTCCACAGCAGAAATCAACCCTGACTTCACCAGGGACTTCAGATGCAGATGGACCACCCTCTTTGGCAGCAAAGGAGTCAGCTGCACTGAGGGACACGCAAGAACGACGCATTCCCTTTGGTGGATCTCTTACCCTCCCCCGCCCTGCCCCTGCCTTCTCTCTGAGGTTTGACGGTCTGTTCCATGCTTCTCTGGCTCTGCTCTATTTCTGTTCATCAGTTTATGTCCTTCATTATATTCCACAAATGAGTGCGATCATGTGATATTTGTCTTTCTCCGGCTGGCTTATTTCGCTCAGCATAATGCTCTCCAGGTCCCTCCATGCTGTTGCGAATGATAAGAGTTCTTTTTTTTTTTTTTTTTACAGTAGCCTAGCCTAGTGTTTCAAAGTGCACCTCACCCAGAATTTTCTCCTTTACTTATGTGACATCACCTCCTGAACAAAACCATGATCCCCTTCCTCTCCTGCTCTAAGGCTACTGAGGCTTAAACAGGACTGGCAAAGCATTGCACCATTCAAACCCAGCTTTGCTATCTTTCCCCGAGTTCCCGGCATCCTCCTGGCCTTCTTTATTAAATCTGCAAAGTCACGCCCAGCCAGTGTGGCTCAGTGGTTGTGAGTTCAATTCCACATCAGGGCACATACCCAGGTTGCCCGATCCCCAGTGGGGGGTGTGCAGGAGGCAGCCGATCAATGATTCTCTCTCATCGTTGATGTTTCTCTCTCTCTTCTCTCTCTCAAATCCATAAAATATATATTTTTTTAAATCTGCAAAGACAAATTCTTTAGCCAAAGGACTCCCAGCATTAATACCACCTGCTTCCCAGTCACAAATGTTTCTTCACTTATCACCGGGCTGTGTGGTTACAATGCCCACGAGGAAGAAGGCTCACCTCCTAAAAAGCTGCCACCACCTTCCCCACTGCATTCACTCTCGCACCTCAGTATCTGAGACATGTTTTGCCTAGCCGAAACCGGTTTGGCTCAGTGGATAGCGTGTTGGCCTGTGAACTAAAGGGTCCCAGGTTCGATTCTGGTCAAGGGGATATACCTTGGTTGCCGGCGCATCCCCACTGGGGACACTGCAGTTTGCTGTTTCTCTCTCATCGATGTTCCTCTCTATCCCTCTCCCTTCCTCTCTGTAAAACAATCAATAAAACATATTTTAAAAGAAAAAAAAGAAATGTTTTGCCTAAACAAGATCATCAAGATCGCCCCCCATGTTCTCATCTGGAAATGACTAGTTGTAGGTTTTACATTTAGGTCTAGGATCTATTTCAAGTTAATTTTTGAAACAGTGGGTTAGTAGGGATAGAGGTGATTTTGTTTTGTTTTTTTGTTTTGTTTGCAGCTGGCACCAACTGTTCCAGCGCTTGTTGAAAATATTTAAGTGTTTTTTGGCCAAAGATAAGAAATGATCAGCAACCGTGTGCAGCGCTAGACATTTAAAGGGAGAGCTGGGGAAAGGAGACCAACTTGAACTTGATCGGAGAGCTTTGAGGACTCAGGCCAGTGGGAAAAGGAGCTCCTGGCCGCCCTGAGGTAGGGGCTCCCGCTGGCCCATGCGGTGCAGAGGCGAGCGTTTTGGGGACCCCCAGACCCCCAGACGTGGCTGGTGCTTGCACTTCCGCCGCGGCCCTGCTGCCAGGCACAGTGGGGTCTCAGGCCCGCGAAGGAGCGGGAAGCCCACCATCTCGGAGGCAGGAAAACGAGAGGGAGCGCCGGGCAGCCCAGCACGTGCGCCCTCCGCGTTCCCACGCTTTTTAAAACCTCTGCGCCACCACACCTGCCGGTGAGCCTAAAGGTTTGCTGTTTCTCTCTCATCGATGAGAAAAACAGGCATCTGGCAGCTTCCACTACGCTGCTCGCGGCCATGGGCTCCGACCTTCCGGGCCGGCGGGGAAGTGGCGCTGGAAACCGCCGCAGGTGAATCCGGCGGGGAGGGGCGGGGGCGTGGGCGGACCCTCCCCGAGCACGCGGGGTTCGGGATCAGCCCGGCAGGGACTCGCAGCCCGGCGATCGCGGCCGGGGCGGCCCTCCCCGCGTGCCCGCACCTGGGCGGTTACCGCCGGCGGTGCCCCCCGCGCCCCGAGACGCTGTGACCGCCCCCCACGCCGCCCTTCCGGGCTGGGGCCGCCCTCGGCTTTCCGGGGCGCCGCGGCGGTGGCGCGGAGGCCGCGTCGTGACCGGCCCGCCCCGGAAGGGGGAGCGCCCGGCCCGGCCCCGCACCCGGCGCCCTCCCGGCCCCACGCGCCCCACCTGGTCTCCTGGTTGCTGAACTTCTTGGTGACCACCTTGCCCAGCTCCAGGCCCAGCCGGTCGGCCACCCGCTGGGACAGGTCCTGGTGCGAGCTGCCGCTGAACAGCACGATGTTGGTCATCCTGGCGCTCGACGGGTGCGCGGCGGGGACGGAGCGGTGGTGGCAGCGGAGCCGGCAGCGGAGCGGGAAAGCGCGCAGCGGCGAGGACCAACCGGCCGGGTAGCTGCGGGGGGCGGAGCTACGGGAGGCGGAGCTGGAGGGGCGGGGCGTGGTGGGCGGGGCCAGATCAGTGGCTGGACCCGGTTGGTGCAGCGGGGGTGACGGGGAGGAGCAACGGGGGAAGGGGCGGAGCCAGGGAGTTAGAGAGGGTGGGGGTGGGGGGAGGGGGAGGAAGGGAAGCAGGAGGGTGCTGGGAGGCAGGGGCTGACCCCAGGCCTAGGGCGTCAGCTTCGGAGCTCTGGCAGGTCCTGAAGCATTGAGGAGCGCTCCAGAGCACAAATATTTTTTAAAAACATATTTTTAATGATTTCAGAGAGGAAGGGAGAGGGAAAAGAGAGAGAAACATCAGTGATGAGAGAGAATCATGGATCTGCTGCCTATCAGTCTGCAGGCCAACGCTCTATCCACTGAGTCACACCAATCAGGGAGCAGACCACAAGCCTTGACTGCTGGGTCCTGCCTCCTGGGGCAAAGGAAATGAACCAGATTAACTGGGCATTGAGGAAGGTGCTGGAAGAGGCGATGGACTGCCTCGCAACCAGGAGTGGAATTCCCCCAAACTCATTGCCTACCACGGGGTGCAGCTACAGAGGTCTGCAAACTGTGGGCCAGGGTCAGCCCCACGGCGCCGCCTGTGACCCTGAGGGCCCTGCATGCTTTGCACATGGGAACACTGGCAGCCCATGTGATAACAACACGCTACCTGTGAACTCCCCTGGAGAGAAATGCCCCCTCAAGAGAGAACTCCTTTCCTCTCACGGGCGTGTATTGCAAAAAAATGTCCTCAGTGGTTACTATCTGGGGCATTTGTGCCCATTCAAATCTGCCGGGCTGGGCCTTATACCTGCAGCCCATCTCGGGGTGGACTCTTTCAAGAGCTCAACAGCCGTATGTGGCTAGAAGCTGCCACATTAGAGTGAGAAGCTCTTAAGAGCAGTGCCAAGACACCCTGATCCATTCATTCTATTGTTTTTATTAGCAGCGTGACAAATAACGGGCAACTAATTATAAAATGCTAGTTTACAAATAATTTACTTTGAAAACAAGTTAAAATAAATGCGAGTTAAGTCTCTTATTAGTTATATTTTCACTGACAGAACAAAGTAGTTTTTCTGATTTTTATTTCTACATCTTTTCCATTTACTTTCTATTTAAAGAATGAAAAAAAAAAATACAGAGCCATGGCCAGTGTAGCTCAACGGGTTGGAACATCGTCCAGTGCACTAAAAGGTTGCGGGTTCGATCCTCGTTCAGGCGCAGTCAGATTGTGCACAGGAAGCAACCACATCGATGTTTCTCTCTCACATCAATGTTTCTCCCTCCCCTGCCATCCCTTCCTCTCTGAAATCAATGAGAAACATGTTCACAGGTGAGGATTTAAAAAAATTAGCCCTAACAGGTTTGGCTCAGTGGATAGAGCATCGGCCTGCATACTGGGGTCCCAGATTTTATTCCTATCAAAGGCATGTACATTGGTTTCGGGCACATCCCCAGTAGGGAGTGTGCAGGAGGCAGCTTGATCGATGTTTCTCTCTCATCGATGTTTCTAACACTCTATCCCTCTCCCTTCCTCTCTGTAAAAAATCAATAAAATATTAAAAAAATAGAGTATAATGGGCACCCATAAATCCATCACCTTAAACATAGCATCTTTCAGAATTTTACCATATTTGCTTCATCTATTTTTCTAAAGTAGTTTTATTATAGTCAACAGATATTTGCACCTACATTCTTTAGTCTATATCTATGAAAAGTTAAGGATGACAATCATATGCACAATTCAAAGTGGATAAAACACCTTCACGTAAGAGCTAAAATTCTCAAAAGAACACACTATAAACCGTCCTGACCTTGGATTAAACAATGGTTTCTCTACTGTGACACCAAAGGCACAAACAACAACAAAAATAGATGAACTGAACTTCCAAATGAAAAACTGGCTGTTCCAAAGCTGCCAACGAGAAAGCAGAAAGACAACGCAAAGCATGGGAGCTAACGTTTGCAATTCACATCGCTGATGAGTGATTGGTATTTCAAATGTATCAAAACAACAACAACTTAAAAAAAAAAAAAAAGCAATTTTAAAATGGGCAAAGGAAGCCACACATGGGTGTTTAGAGAGTTTTCTTCAGAAATGTCGAATTTTGGAAATAAACAAGCTGCCTTTTAATAGATGAGTGGATAAATAAACGTGGCCCGTCCGGGCAATGGAATGTTTCGCAGAGCTGAAAAGAAATGAGCTATGGAGTCGTGACAACATACACAGCAACCTTCAATGCATATTCTCAAGTGAAGGAAGCCATCAGAAAAGGCTACATAGTATGATTGCAACTCCAGGACATTCCATTCCAGAAGAGGCAGAACTAAGGAGGTTGTTACAAAATGAATGGCTGCCGGGCTGTGGGGGAGGGAGAGAGGAATAGGGGAGTGCAGAGGATTTTTAGGGCAATAAAGCAATCCTGTGTGATACTATAATGGTGGCTCATGTCATTACACATTTGTCCAAACCCAGGGAATATATAACACCAAGAGGGAGCCCCAATGTAAGCTGGGAACTTCGGTCAATGTGATGTGCGGATCTTGGTTCAATAGTAAGAAATGTAGCAGTCTGGTCAGGGATGCTGGTAGTGGGGGAGGCTGTGTGTGTGTGTGTGTGTGAAGGGGGAGGAGGGGGAGAATGCTCTATTTGTTCCACTCCATTTTGCTGAAAACCCAAGACAGCTCTAAGAAGTAAAATAAAATCCATTTAAAAAAAAGAAGAAAGTAGGCAAACGATTTCTCCAAAGAAGATACACAAATGACTAATAAACACATGGAGAGATGACCAGTATCATTAGCCATGGGAAGGCAATGAAAACCATAGTGAGATTCCACTTCACACCCACTGGATGGTTATCGTTCAAAAGGCATAATGAGCACTGGCCAATTTGGCTCAGTGGACAGAGCATCAGCCATGCGGAGTAAAGGGTTCTGGGTTTGATTCCAGTCAAGGGCACATGCCCAGGTTGCAGGCTCAATCCCCAGTGGGGGGCGTGCAGGAGGCAGCCGATCCATGATTCTCTCTCATCATTGATGTTTTGATCTTCCTCTCCCCACTTCCTCTCTGAAATCAATAATATATATTTATATTTGAATATATATTTTATTGATTTTTTACAGAGAGGAAGGGAGAGGGATAGAGAGTTAGAAACATCAATGAGAGAGAAACCAGCAAGCCCCCCACTGGGGATGTGTCCACAACCAAGGTACATGCCCTTAACCAGAATCGAACCTGGGACCCCTCAGTCTGAAGGCCAACGCTCTATCCACTGAGCCAAACCAGTTAGGGCTAAAATATATATATATTTTTTAAAGAAAGTAGCCAGTCACGAAAGACCACATATAGCATGACTCCATGTTCAGAATAGGCAGCTCCAGAGACAAAGTAAATTAGGGGTTGCCTGGGGTGGGGTGGGGGGTGGTAGGTGTGGATGGAGATGCTAGAGTATGACGGCTAAGGGATTTCTTGGGGGGATGTAATGAAATTGTCCTCAAATTGATTGTGGAGGCAAAGGCATAACTGAATATACTAAAAGCCATTGAATTGACACTTACATGGGTGGACCGAGTGGTATGTGAATTCTCTCTCAGTAAGAGCTATTTTAACAAAAGATAAAGACCCTTTTCTTTATGAATCCAATACTGTGACCACGTCTAAGGTATTAACATGCCCGAGCCTCCTGCTGTTAGGGACGTAGAGCTCAATCATTGATTTAAGGCGGCCATGGTCTGAGTCCTTCATTATGAGACTGTTTCCTACCTTGGCACATGCCCACGTTCCAGTCCCAGCTCCTGTCCTCTCTGAAAACGTGAGCTGGGCTGTCCAGTGAAGAGGAGTAGACCTTTATCTCCTGGAACTACTTGGTGACGCAGTCTGGGCTGAGAATCAGGACAAATGTTTCCTTTTCTTTCTTTTTCTCACGGGTCTGCAGAGCAAGGAGTCTGCTGTGTGCATGCTGCCTCCTGCACCAGGTACCCAGGGCACCTAGGAGATGGGGCAGATTCAAGGTCTGGAGCAGGAGTGATGACCTGGACCGGGACTTCATTCATTCATTCATTCATTCATTCATTCATTCATTTGCCTGGTGTATCAAAGGGAAGAAGGAGCCTGGCTTGTGTGGCTCTGTGGTTAAGGTTGACCTAGGAACCAGGAGATCACGGTTGGATTCCCGGTCAGGGCACATGCCCAGGTTATTGGCTAGATCCCCAGTGTGGGGTGTGCAGAAGGCAGCCAATGCATGATTGCTTCTCATCATTGGTGTTTCTCCCTCTCTCCTTTCTCTCTGAAATCAATAAAAAAAAAGTTTTGTTTTTTTTCAAAAGGGGAGGAGGAAGATGTCTGGAGGATAAAGCAGGCAGCTCCCAGCGGCCACTATTTATGAAACATAGGAAAGTGTGAACATGAAAAGCTCATGGAGTTACAGTTGCGTGAAAGGGAAGTGAGTACGTAGTGATGCTAAGATGGAAGCCGGGACAAACCAGGAGCAAAGCCAGCTTCACATGCCTCCAGTTAAGATGGACAGGAAAGGAAAGCCTTTCCGTGAAACTCAGTCATTAAAGGTACATTTGGTTCTAACTGGTGTGGCTCAGTGGATAGAGCGTCAGCCTGCGGACTGAAAGGTCCCAGGTTCGATTCCGGTTAAGGGCATGTACCTTGGCTGCGGGCACATCCTCCGTGGGAGGTGTGCAGGAGGCAGCTGATCGATGTTTCTCTCTCATCCATGTTTCTGACTCTCTATCCCTCTCCCTTCCTCTCTGTAAAAAATCAATAAAATATATATTTTTTAAAAAGCATACATTTGCTTAAGAGGCAAGGGGAAGGCAGAATGAACCCATTTCTTGGGCAAGTCCATCTAATCTGA